TTTTTTTTTAATTATAACCCCCCCCCCCCCCCGGCTATTGTTATTTTTATTCATAACCCTTCTTTATTTCCTTCTGTGTTACACGCGAGTTTGCATCCGTTTCCTCTCCCTCTCCCTCTCCCTCTCTCTCCCTATCGATCTTTCTCACTTTCTCGTTCTCTTCTCCACTTTTTCATTCGCACTCGCTCTTCCTCGCTCTCTTAATGCATTCACTCCCTTTCTTTCGCTACTATCGACACCGATAACCGTTTCCATCGCCCAACGAAAAATCTTATTACGATCGTCATTGTTATCGGGATCCTCAACTCTTATATCCTTGAATCGTATCTCCTCTCTTCTCAACGCCTCTCTCGACTCACCGCAGCTCACACTCCTCTCCGCTCCTCTCCTCGCCGCGACGCCATCTATCTTTCTTCCCGCCGTAGCATAGCTCTCGCGATCCTCAACATCGGCCGGCTTCCCTTACGTTTCACTTATTTTTGAGCAATAAATACTTTCTCCACGGACAAACTGCACATTGAATTGACGCACAGGACACCACCCATTCGCACCGGTTCCATTCGCTCCGCGGCACATTCGCGCGCGCGTTCATTTCTCTCATAAACTCGTTTACACGGCGCTCCGACTAATATGGCTACATCCACAGAGTAATTGTTACGTTAATTAATGATTATCAATTCATATCAATTCAATATCAATGTATTACAATCAGACAATACTCAACAGTGATCATTATTTTATATATTACAATAATTAAGAGTGACAACAACATGACGACGGAGGCGTTGAAGCATATAAGAGAGGGGGGACATGAATTTTCGTGCTTTTTGGGAAGCTGCGGGGCGGATCGGGATAAACATGGAGTTATGATACGATATCACGATGAGGGAAAATGAGGAAGGAGCTAATGAGCGAAAACGTGCAGCGCTCCACGATGTCAAGGCGACGTCGTTGGATTTTGGATAATAAATATCGCGCTCGTACAGCCCCCTCGACAACATGTACGGAAGGTGAACGATGGGAGATGAATTTTTCGTACGTTGATTTTAATGGAAACGATGACAGTGATGATGATGATAATTATGACAATGATTACTGGAGCTGGATCAAGAAGGAAGGGAAGCACGCACACTCAACACAACCGTCACATCGAGCTGGCCTCACGCGCGCGGCCATTAGTCCATAGATTAATACCTACTAGCTAATACACAGTCTGTTCCATTGCGCGGATGTGGTAATTCTTTTTTTTTTAATTCATTTATATGTATATATATATATAGTACGCGTATCCACGTAGGTATATGTGTATATTAGAGCGCTGTCTTCGAATACATACATACTTTGCGCGAATCTCAACATAGACATATGCAGACATAGATACGGATACATGCGTGTGCGCGCGCGTAGTTATATATGTACACATATACATATGCCGTACCATCCATGTGTATATATAATTATATTCATATCAATTAATTATCGTTATCGTTAATTATTATTAATTCTTAAAACTCAGTTCATAGTCCGAAAAATGTTTCAGCTAGTTAGCAGTGGATGGAAATGTTTCTTCGTTAAAATCGTCGATCGGAGGAAAATCGCGACTAGTACGCTTTAGTACGGATCCTCCGGATCGGTTCGTCGCGTCGTCCATCGTTTACACATTTACAATAGTCATTAGTCATTTAATTATGTTCAATTAGTGTTTTAATCGTTTGCCTGCCATGTATTCGTGTCTTTTTTTTTTTTCTTATTTCTTTCGTTAATTTAAAATCATGTCATCACTGGATCCGTAACGAAAATGCGCGGAACGCTGCTGGTTGATCGGGGGCCGCTGGGGTGCGAGTATATATAATAATATACTATTATAATATCATGATTTTCGTATTTTTTTTTTATGTACATTACGTAGTGCGATGATTTCCCGTCACACCTGCCAGCCAGCGGCCGTCGAGAAGACTTCGTCGAACGTACTTTAACATTTATTTACTTATTTAGTTATTACGCTTCGCCCGTAACTCCATTTGCTTTTTCCTTATTTTCTTCGTCCTTTCCAGTCCTTTCGATTCTCTCCATCACCGTTCCCCTCTCTCTTTCTCTCCACTTCTATTCCTTCTCAGTCGTCTTTTATCTCCTTTCGTCAAACTGGCTCACCCGAGGACCAGGAGAAGCCTCGATTACACGGAATATCAGTCCGTTAGGTGAACTTGCCTTTAAAACCTATTATTGGGACTCAGCAGGGCAACTCATGACGCGGGGGTTTCATGGGAAGCTTTATAGAGTTCGCAGGACATCAGGCATTGGCGTCCGCCGCCATTATATTGTGCACTTGCTCGAGCTTGTACGCGAGCCTCTGTTTTTGCGAGAACTCGTCTTCCTCGAGGGTCACCGTTAGCTGTTCGTTATACTTCACTGCATACGTGTATAGTTCGTACAACGCGCAATTCGTATTGAACTCCGTTGTGTGCAACTGAAAAAAAGTTAACCAGGTATAAGAGCTACTGTCATGACGTATTCTCAATGTTGAGTCCGATGTGCATTATTTAGCGTTTTCATGCAACGTATAAATAACATATAGGAACACTTACCCTAGACTCTTCGGCGAGCATGGCATTCATGTCCTGATCGGAAATGGCTGGCATGATCTTGATATCCGAGTAGTAACGTTCTACCCACTCTTTGTACGCTGGAATGTCTTTTGCATAGAGGAGTTTTGAACTCGGCGAGTCCTTACCTGTGTAAACGATATAGTATAGGATGAGTAAACACCTTGATATACGCGCGTATGGAAACATAGTATGACGAGTGCATCATTCAGTATAGGAACCTACTCACCTAATCTATGATCCGACGTGGAACAGCTATCCATAAATGTTTGCGCCACGACAGAGAGACACGAGTCCACGATGTTGGACTTGTGTATATCGAAGACGAAGTTCGGGTTCTTGATAAGGTTCACCCAAAACCTCAAGGGGAGCGAATTGCTCTTCCATGTGTGGACCACTTCGGGGTCAGATATGCCATGATGCAGAGCCTGGTCATCCAAGAAGTCAAACATATACTTAATGGCTAGAGGCAGTGCGGAGCCCCGATGGGCTGTGCTGAAGATCGTCTCGAAGAGGTCGTCGACAAACTTCTGTAGTGTACCCTTGGTCGCCAGTAACCTCGTCAGGTAAATTTCGGAGACCATCTTGTTACCACGTTCACCCTCCTTCTGAGCGTCCGTATCATGGTGTTTTACCAAGTGCCAAGACTTGAGGCCGCCGTCGTGGTCGTGATTCAAGGGCGAAGTTGCACGCGACAATGGCGGACTGGCTGAGCTAAACTTGCTTAAATTCAACGTTTCGTACTTGTGAGACTTGTCCGTTTTCTCAGATAGGATTGAGAGGTTGTAGATGGAGGATTGCTTCGAGACGAGATTTAGAGAGGCCCCGTCCGGCACTCTGTAGTGATTCAGTGTGTTTCGCTTCTTCCATTCGCTCTCGGGCTTTGTTGTGGAGTCCTCATCGTAGAGGATCAATCTTCCTGAGGCGCCGGTACGCCATTCTGTTACGTGGGAAGGGCACGAATGAATAGATTAATTGGTGCTACTAGAGGCCGCGGCTTGTATTTATAGCTGGAATTAAAAGAATAGCTTACCTAGATCGAGGTCATCCTTCCTAGGTCTTTGGCTATATGGGGTCGATCTGTAGATGGTGTCGAGTGCCTTTTCCTTTACTTGAGAGATCGTATCACAGTCGAGCACCTTGACCCCTACGTTCTCCGTGTTAGGATCCATTCCGCCCACGAAGACGGTTTGTTGCGAGATAGACACGTAAACGGTCTATGAAAATTCAATAGAGTTTCAGGGTAAACGATAATGCTCTTAGCACATACAATTTAGCATAGCTTATACGTATGAATATAACTCTTTCCTCAAAGACCGTGGACTGTACTCACCATTGGTTTGAACTCTATCGACTGTCTGATCAGTTTTTCTTCTGACAATGAATATCTCGCCTCTGAGGTAATGGCATCCACAGGTCCCTTGTCAACCTGCTGCTTCATGGCACGGAATAACATGTATAATGGTTCGCCAGCGCACTCTCGCAGAAATTTGTACAAAAGGAAAGTGAACCAGGCGGATAGCATCTTCTCAGCAACGCTCTCAGTTCTGACAGAAATCACACATATAAAACATGTATTATTCATCATATCTCTCTATCATATTTCTAACAGATTTCTATGCGTGTAATACGTACCGTCTTAACAGTAGCTTGGGATGACTCTTGCCTTCCATACACTTCTCAATAAGTTCCGCCAAGAGAGTCTTCAATATATCAGTACAATACTCCATCTTGCTTTGTAAAGTGACCATAATAAAGCTAGCCACATTGACACGATCCCTCATCGAGAAGTAACGATTGCTTTCCAGAGTCCTTACAAAGAGAAGCAAGAAAGTTTTATTCATGATAAGCTGTCCAAAGAGTCTGAGTCCTTTCTCCTTGTGGGTCAGTTCTGGTCTCTCCCACTGAAGGACAACGTGGTTGTCGATATTAGGGAATAAAATTTTCATTGCGTAGGTGCGATAATCCAAAAATGGAATTCCACCACTGGTCAAGTCTCCAGTGAGATCAGTCATCTCGGTTTGTAGTTCAGCAAAGGCCTCTTTGCATTCGGCCGCTACGCGCAGCTCCAATATATCCATCTGCTCCTGCATATTTTTGAGAACCCTGTTGTTCTCGGTGGACTTACGACGATAAGCAATCAGGAAGATAATGAATACCACAACAAGGATGAGTATCGCAGCAATGACTCCTATCAATGCTGGCTTGGACAATGGTCCATTTAAACCAGTCGGTAGAGCGTAGCTCAACTTGCCAATGGAATATTGCAGACTACCACCCACGATCACAACCACTTCCGGCAATTCCTGCTTATTGGGTTGCCCTTCGGAGTCTAATGCCGGTGGCTGAGATACCGGTGGTCGACAAGTGAGCTGCTGTCGTGACAGAGAGGTCACGTTGCAGAATGCATTACCAATTTGAACAACCACGTCGGATTCTTGGCAAGCGCGGTCCAGATGCTGTCCATTGATCGTCAAGTAATCACTCTTGTAATACTTGACCTCCTCGTCGAATACCTCGTAAATTGGATTAGGATACAGAAGAAAGTGATTGAATCCGCGCTGCGTAAGATTTTGCACTCCTGTCACGTTGTCCATGCGAAAACCATACTCGAGGGAGAGAGGTTTCTCTGCGTCAAGCAATACATTTTCAGGAACTTCGATGGTTGGCGAATTGCAATTCATGTTGGTGTGGCTAAACACGGTACACTGGGAGATGAACATCTTGTCGTCGAAATAAACGTACATTTGAGGATTCTGTATGAAGCCCAGATTCTTCCCTGTGACGGATATCCTTATACCCCCAGCAGGGATGCCTTTAGGGATCTTCATCTGTCCGGCTACACCACTTTCGACACTCTCTATGGTTGGGTCATCCACGTACTCGAAAAAGCCGTCGTATTCTCTGATGCCACCGTCAAAGCGCATCTTGAGAACACCATTTCTTTTTCGATCGCTGGCACTGGTCATGCAAAGGGCTTCGTTTAGTTCTGCACTGATTATAGAGCACGGAAGATTATCTATGAAGGCTTCGATCCTGCTACCGGCATTCATGAATTCTCCAGTAATCCTTATAATAGTTCCGCCACTGAGTGGACCAAACTTCGGCGAGATGGAAAAAATTTTGGGATCTACAAATTTAAAATTGTATTCCGACTGTCCACGGAAGTCCTCCACTTTTACTATAACTGGTCCGCTTTTAGCTTCTTCCGGTGTTCCTGGACCGTCTATGCGACACACTATTTCCTTGGTACGAATATAAAGTTTCTCATAAGGCTGACAAGTCGCTGCGGCTACGGTAACACCTTCGAATATGTCACTAAATGTCTTTCCTAAATTGATACCTCTGATGGTCATATTAGTACCACCTTCCCAAGGTCCCATCCTTGGCTCAAAGGAGTGTATCTCCGGATTGGGGCACGTCTGATTCATGTTCAACCAGACACCGTCACCTCGGTCGCACTGATCCTTAACTTCACAGCGATCTGAGCTCTGACACCAGCCGCATCCGTATTTCTTGTCAAGGGCAAGACACATGCCGCAATTATCGGCCATATCTCGGCATCTATATATCACCACGTGGATATTATCAGGATTGTCCAAGGGTTTGGAACCGCCCCAGATCACAGCAAAAGGAACAGTTATGTTTGGCGCCCGCGACGTGTACGAGAAGTCAGTCTCGTCGCAATAAATCGTGTCGGCCAATAGTCTCGCGTTGACGCTGGTTACGCGACCCTCGATGTTGAATTGGCAGACGAATCTCGTTTGAATGATAAATTGCTGTAATCAGAGAGACACCATGAGTTACGAGTGCACGTAGCACCTAGTATCCAGTAGTATCACACATAAATTCCTTTAGTCGCTAGAACAACTAAGGAGAGCAACTTTATCAAACTCACCCCTATGATATGCACTCTAACCCGTATCACCTTCTTAAGACCAGATGATACGAGGATCTCCTGGGAGTCTGTAGCATTCAGGGTGGGACAAAAAGCTGGCCCACTTCTGTAACTAGGACCCATTCTCTGTAACAAAGAAGAAACTCCAGTTAAGTCCAATCTCAATATTTGTAAAATCATGCCCAATTCAAGTTTCAAGCTTTTGGATACTTACGCTGACTCCGGTGACCAGTATGTCGTTGCGACAGTTTTCTGCAGTGTCATGAGTACATCTATGTCCATCGACACACCAGTCGCATGGGAAATTCGAGGACACGCACTGCGTGCAGGAGCTGTAGGTATTGCAGTCGAAGAAAGTAAAGTTGGTACCGACCAAGTCGGGACCGTTGGTCATCCTGACCGACAATTTGGCAGTGAAATGATGTTGACCCGTTGGTATCGCTGGTAATAGATCCGTCCTCGGCGTGGTGCAATTGACTCCGTAGGATTTCCTAGTAGCATTCGTGATTAGAGTCTTGTCGAGGGCCGAGAAGGCACAGAGAAATTGGCCCGTGAGCGACGGTAAGTTTTCGATCACCAGCTCAAGAGTCCTGGCAGTAGTTCGCTGAAGTTGATCCGGAGATACGGAAGTTATGGTCGTGCATCGTCCGCTCTTGTACGATATCCAATACAGAGGATCCTTCGCGGCATCTTGACAATCGCTCCTGAGGTTACACTTGTTCTCCAAAGAGCACCAGCCGCAGTAAGGATCCTTGGCGCCCAAGCAGTCCCAGCAAGTCGTGTATACCGAGCACTCCTGGACCTTAACTTTGGACACCCTTTGATTCGTCAGAACATAAAGATACATCTGCTGAGTATCAAAAAGTAGATCCGGTAGCACTGGAGAATCTGCATCTATGTTCAAGTCCCCATATTCCAGTGCAGCGCTACCACTCTCGACGACAACCTGAAAACACAATAACAATATTTCGTTAATACCTGAATTCCATTTTTTTTTTCAATATCGGCATGTAATCGTGAACGAAATTATTGAATGGAAAAAAAATTTGTCAATTTTATTACAACTATTTCCCGATACAATACACCAAGCGGATATTTTGCGGAAAAAGGATTGTCGCTCGATGACACGCTGTTACACGGTAACGAATATCCACGGTGCGTCATGCAGAAATCACATCGTTGACAAAGCCGATGATTCGACCGGAAGGTTCGTTAATCGTCTATCGAGTTTGCTATATTATTCCGAGTATAATTACTAAGCGTGTAGCGACGTGTAGTTTACAACAAGACAAAGCAATACTCAAGTAAATGTGATATATGGAATTGACATTGTTATCCCGTAGTCGTGAGTCATGCCTAGAATGTCTATTATGTAATTATTAAATCCATTGCGGAAAAAAATCTTAATAAAAAGATACTGCGAGGTACCAACCGTATGATCTTGCCGTTACTTTATTACTCGTACTGGCTTATTGGATTGACGGGTAATAATTCATAAAAACGTTTAATCATTGGCATTCCTCAAACGACGACGCCGACGCCGACGCAAGGCTGACTGGTGTATATATTTATCCTACCTGTAGAGAAAAGATGCACATATGCATTCCGCGTATGCAGGATCCCGAGACGTTTGCTACAGAGCACGCGCTCATGTCCCGGCGAGATATTCGTTCACGACGCCCGTTGATACGTGATCTCGAGACGATTAAACTCGATGCATTCACGGTGAATTTTATTCCGCAAATATATGTTGCGCATGCACATACGAGGCGCGTTCTAGCTAGTTGAATGATGCGGGTGCGCGGAAAAATATGTCGACGGAAATTTTACATGGCATTCTTTACTAACGTAATATAGGTGTATTACCAGTGCTGATCGTTGGATATTTCGAAAATTCAGATATCTCGTGGCGCCATCTGGCATCGTATATGAGAACTGGTACGTGGAATTTATCGAAGCTAAATTTGAGGCAGAGATTTTTCTAATGAATATCAGTCAAGTTTCCATTGAATTTTAACAATACGAGAAAGTATATTTTCGGTGGATTTCTCGTGAGTCTGAGGTAACGTATTCCACAGTAAAAAAACAAAAGGAAAAACGTAAACTAGTAACCGAGGTGAAAGGTTTCGATGGCGATACTCATACGTACACCGACCATATTAGCCAGCAGGAATGCAATCAACCAGAGCAGTTTTAGCAGATGTTGTTACGACCTTTATTAATGTATTAGCGGAGACCTCGAATCAGTAACGACGAATTTTCATAATCGAGCGGGATCTAACGTGCGTGGGTGGCTCCGCGACGGCAGATGCGACGTAATTAAAATTAATCGGCTCCGAAAAATTTCGCACGGACGCCCTGATTAAGCGGAAGGTCCTGAATGGGGATGAGTTCGTAAATAAAAAATGTTCGTAAAACGAAAAAAAAAGAGAAAAAAAAAAAGAATAAGCGAGGGAAAAAAATTAATAGCCAACTGAGTTTGGAGGCTCGCAATTTTCTCATAGGCCAATTAATCCAGCGCACCACTCTGGTGCTTCTTGAAGAAACCAAAAGAAAGACTCTCACGCTCCCTGCGGTTTTTAATCCGCCGCGTAATCCACTTGGGACTGGGGAGGGAGAGTGGGTAATAATTCGCGAATGAATATTCGAAATTGCGCTGCTGGTCCTCAGACTATTTATCAGAAGGGAAAATAAAATCTAATGGCATAACGTATAAAAGATACTACGACCCGTATACGAGTTCGCGTTTGTCAACAGGACGAGAAGCATTCCTGAAGGATTGACCTGGTGAAAGAAGACGTCGAATAGCATGTAGCTGTCTCGCGTTATCTGTCGATCGGTCGTTCACGTCAGGAAGTTGTCAGATAGAATTGGGCCGATTGGTAATGAAAATCGCCAGGAGGCAAACGGACTTTTGCTCGGTACGAAAGATGAAGACGAGATAAGACATTACGAGTTCACGTTATCCATGGGTTAAAAACATGCACGAGTTAGTGATAACGGTGCAGAAGTAATCATAGAAATATTGCAAGTCAGTATCGTGACGAAGACGAAATAACAAGACTGCGAGAGGATCGATCCTGTAGAAAATCTTATGGGAATCGGCGATCGGCGCGACTGCTACACACCACGACTGACGTGATCTTATTTATATAGGAAATTTCCAATAATGCAATTCATTAGTCTATCGAAACGGCTCGGCTAGAGAAACAATGGCTCGTCTCCAGAGATCTCTAATTCAACCCCATCTCCTACCTACGTAAACCACCCGCCCAACAAGCAGCGCCACTCTCTTCGACTCTACGGTCTCCACCCTGCATCCCTTACCGGTAGCCCCATTACCGATTACCCATTACCCTTTAGCGTTCCAGGGCCGTAGAAGGTGCCGGTGGAAGGAGGAGCTGCCTGGAGTGTAATACCAGCAGCAGCTAGGCAGTCGGGAACCTTGTAGAGGGTTGGCTCGGGGCTGCCTGGTTTAACCTGGGGGGGAGGCGTGCAGGTATCGATTGCACCCAAAGATTTACGATTAACCCCTGGGCTTACGCATGCTTCGCGATAATTGACGAGTCGCTGACGTGCTCCAGAGACGACGAGCAGGGAACAAGCCCGTTTTTGTTTCGTCTAGGTACAGCACAAGATCAAAAAAACTGCTTGCTGAAAGTCGATACCGATATGCCAATGTATACCGGTACTGGGGTTTCTGTAGCTTTTGAAATTTATACATTTTGAATATGTGTACGATTTATATCTCTCCCTGATATACCTATCTTTCTCGAACTTTTGTTACCGACTCGCGCAAACCAGCTCGAGAGACTTCTGGCAATATGGGAAAAGCGAAAGAGGGTTTGTACTTCGGGAGAGCCTTCCGGCGCAGGCGCTCCTGTCTGTGCGACAATAGTCTCACTGTGTAGCCAGCCACGTTTACCGTGGCTCTGACTATATAGCTAAGAAGACGGCAATGAGGAAAGGACGATTCCACTCTGGGAGACATCAGTAACTTTCTACACCCTGAACGATTCCTCATTCCCTCGGACTGCTTAGCCGCGCTGTTAGCAGCTCTTTCAGACATCGGCTAAACCAGACACCAGAGTTTTCTTTGAGGATTTATGGTATAGTAATATAGATATGGATGATGATAGCAATAATAACCATAATCTCACCTTTTATTCCGCCCGGAATGATCGAGGGTTTTTAGTGATTTATCCAATTAGGATTGATGACACTTTTTTTTTCCCCTTTAACTGGATACTGACTTCCGCTTGGGATTGCAGAAGTCGATCCCGATTAATATATTGAGATGAGAAGGAATAACTGTTATAGGTTACATCGATCGCCCGTTATACATTTCTGTGTTGGATGGGATCGGAGTGGATTCATGTGATGCGTGATGTGTGCGATCATTATTGACATGGAGTTTCAATAGTATTTCCGGGAGAAATAAAGATACAGATTTATTAGTGTATAGCGCTACTCTTGACAATATAAGTCGAATGTACTTCCTTGAACTATCGATGGAGATACTAATGAATCTCATTGCTGCGTCGTCGCTTAATTTCGAAAATATAATGGGTGTCCCCCCATGCATTGGTTTAGAATTAAGCTGAGAATTCCTGGGATATGGTAGAATCGACTTGTTTTCGAGTGATAACTTATACGTAATCGTATACGGATAGAGGTTAAGTTCACTCTAGAGAAGATATCTAATCGTCATTATGTTTTTTCCAAAGAAATATCACAGTATAACTCGAACTACCGACAACCGTGAAAGTAATATATTTATATAATTTCGATAACCCCGTTGCTAACGCCGTATCAGGACATCTCGAATGATCGGTAATATTCCCCGGTAGAATAAAATTCCGAGTTCCCGGGGCGCTGGGCTTCTTGAGCCTCTTTTCTCACAGACTCAATCCCATCCTCCCTAGAGCCATTTCCAATATCCAGCGAGCACTTCCTTGCGTCTTGATGAAACGTTAAAAATCCATTGCCTTCGAGATCCTCGAACCAAGTGGAATGGAGACGAAGGATAAGAAGGCAGTGGCGAATCGAACCAGTCGCCTTGAGAGCATTCGCACTTATCAAATATCATCGTATAAAACGTCTCCCTCCATTTTCTCAAGCTCGTCACGTGACACGGGTCGCTAATACAAAAATCAACATGGCCGCCGGCAGATATCGCGAGGTTCGATTGATAGCGACCGAACTACGTGTATATACCACAGGGACAATGATTACGGAAATAATAATAATAATAACCAATAGCGAGCCACATAACCCTCAGGGGTAATGGGAGTCGACATAACCTATACTCCTTGGGAACTTTCGAGGACAGAAACACCTGGCCCTTTCCCATGAAACAGCTAAAGTACCGGATTACTTGCTCCCGAACGAGGCTCCCGATTTCTCCTGTGCAGTAAGTTAACCTCGCGCCAATAAGAATCGAATGTAGAAACTATAATCCGTGTAATTAGGCTAATCAAACTGCCGCTCATCCCAAATGGCTTACACGATATTCCCTTCCGATATTACGGGAACGGCTGTTAGTTTCCGTATCCCGAAATCGTTATTACTTTCACATTGGGCAATCGTAGACATGGTAGCTATGCGATCCCGTGAAGATACGGCATCTCGTAATTGCTTGTGATCACAGCATCCGTCGAACCTGTCAAGTCCGTCAAGAGATTCATGATCCATTTTCGGTGCTATGATTCCGATTGAGAAACTGATCGCTCTTAATTAGGAACTTTACGTATTGGCACCTCAAATCCTTTTAAAGTGATTCTAGTCCATTGCTACACTCGCACTGGGTTTCTCTATTATAGGACAAAGCAGCCCTTCATTCGGTACCTCATTGTACTTAGTACAGTTGCTGTGTGTTGACTCGGACTTTTGCTTAGCGATTCAAGTGGATCTGAACCAACGCTACTGGTGATGTATATATATATA